CCATGGAGCAGGGAACCCCTGGGATCAGACTCCTCTTCTTGTTGCTATCTTTTGCCTCTTCCTTCTGCTTTTCTCTCTCTGGTTCCCAATTTTCTCCCTTGTCTTCACTGACTTATCTTTGTCATTATCTTCCTCACTGACAGCTGCAATTTCCTTTAAACTGAAAAATTAGAATAATAAAAGCAATCACCAAAATAAATTTTTCACCATGGACCAGGCACTGCCCTAAGCACTTTTGTAGTGCCAGGATGGGAACAGAGCAGGATAGCTATGATCCGAGCAGACCTGAGTAAAGGAGAGCCCTGGAGCCTTCGGTAGCTTTCTCAGGCTTTTATGGAGCTTTTACATGTAGTGCAGCAATCAGGTACATGGCAGGCAGAGGTGGGGGGGTGGCCTCCAACCCCCATCAAGTCTTCTCTCTGGGGTTCTCTGGCCTACTTCTTCCCCTTCTCTCTCCTGTCTCTTCTGCCTTTTCTTTCCTTCAAGAATGTCTCCGTACTGAGCCATGGCCCACAGAAGTAAATAACACAACTTATAACAAAGTAACAAAATGCAGGTGCCCCATCAGGCAGGGCCATCCTAATGTGAGGAGGGCAGAAAAGCCTGAAAACCATTTACGCTACAACTTTACATATATTTTCACAACAATTGCTGTAATTTTAAGATTTAGTACAATAGTAATCTTCTCAGAATTCCTTTCTAGAAAAGGAAACTGAGACATAAAAGTGAGGTAAGTTGCTTATGAAATAAAATGCTATAGCATCAGCAAAGAAAGTACATTTAAACCTTTCTTTAAAGTTTGTGATCTTTTGATCTGTGACTTGGGAGGGAAGTCTTTTCTCTCAAGACATGATGGGTCTATTTTAATTAACTGTGAACCTCTAGATGGATGCACAGGTTTAAACTAAGAGGTTGGGTGTAAAAGAGTGGTAAAGATAAGTGAACCCCAAACCCTGAACTCAAAGAATTAACAGCCTTTTGGAAAAGGTAGTCATATAAGCAAATGATTCTAGCAGAAGAATACAAACTGACCTTATCTCTCATAATGATAAAAGGTGGAAGGTTATTGGTAAAGACTACCTCACAGAAGAGGCATTGAAGTTGGGTTTTCAATGATGATAAAAATGACTTTTGAACTGGGTGTGACTATTAATGATAAAAGCCAACATTTTAGAGTTACTATATTCAACACCATGTCAGAGCTTTTCTAAATTATTTAATCCTATCAGGTAGAGTCAATTATTTATCTCCATTTATCAGATGAGACAGCTGAGGACCCGGAGGCATTAGATACGTAGCCCAAGTTATACAGTAACGTAGCATGTGACAGTCCAACCCCAATCTCATTTCTAGAGCCTGTTCTATTTTGACCCATGCAGCTGTGTAATGGTACTTATTACCAATAACTACCAATAATATGTCACAATTTCTCCCCTGAGGATGATTTGCATTAATCACTCTCGCTTTCCACATTTGTCCTTTATGTAAATCTGACTTGAATGTGTCTAACATGCCTTGGATTTTCAAAATGGTTTGCTAGGTGTTTCATTCTGTTCTTTGGTAGGGCTGTATAAGGGCAGGACAGGCCACTGAGCAGGTTCTCTGATCCAGCAGACCGGGTAAAGGAGGAGTCAGAGTCCTCAGTGGCTTTTGCAGGTCTTTCATTTAGATTTACCAGGCATATGGCAGGCAGGGGTGCTGGGGGGCCAGGAGGCTGGCAGTCCTCCCAGCCCCCAGCAAATCCTCACTCTATCTGGGCTCTCTCTGGTGTTCTGCTTCTCTTCTTCTCTCGGCTTCTGTTTGTTCTTGGCTTCTGCTGGCATCCCCATGATGCTGCCCTTATAAACTCAGTCTCTCAGCAGCCCAGGTGTACCCACTTCAGGTGCCCGCCATCAGGCATGCATTCAGGACCACAGGGTTCCCTCATCTATCCTAATGGCAGGAGGGCAGAAAAGCCTGATACTTTTTCCTTACTCTACAGGCTGCTATTCTATTTTACATGGATGTCAAAAGTGACACCACATGTTAGGCCCAGGGATTACAATGTGGGTCACAACCCAGAGTGTTTACTCCAGACTGGAGGATCAGGTGGGCTTCATCTGCTTCCTAGGTAGTGGACGCTCAAGGCGTGCTGAACGGTATTCTGAGACTCTTTGCAGATTCTACCAGGAAGAACGTGGTGATTCATCAGAGATGTATGCTTGGGGTTTTAGCTGGATGTGTAGTGGGCAGGACAATGCTGTAGGTAAAGAAGACATATGTGTGTTCTTTGCAGAATAGAGGCATTTGGTCTGGACTTCAACATGGGAAGCTTTCCTCAAGGTGATGGGAATTCAATAGATGGGAATTCTGAAGAATGGACCAATTGAAAATCAGAGGTTAAGGAGGAGTCAGTATCTGGAGAGAAATTTTAGAGGGTCCTAGAAGGGACCCTGCTAAGAGTCCCCACAAGCAGGATGAAAGAAAGAATAACTTTGAGTGGGTCCCAACCAACAAGATACAAAGTTATTGTATGAGGCACTTTAAGTATGTACACTGATAAAAAGTTTTAAAATAATATTGTGGAATTTGATGAGAGTGATGAAATCAATCCCTAGGAAATGAACTCAGGGCACTGGAAAGTTCTTTATCTAGCTCATTCCCTGGATAGGTGGTATATGTTAACATTGTTGAGGAATCCTGGCCTGCATCCTCTGGTCATTAATAACTATGTTTGAGAGGCCTGGGATTTATCTCTGCCTTTCACAGAATGGGTGATTCAGAGAGCTTGATGGGCTGGGTGGACATTGACTTAATGAGAATAAATTAGCTACAGACATCTGTGAAGTTGTTTCCTCTATAGTCTTAGACTTGATTGCGAGCAAGCTCACAGGACTTCATTCCTGCTGTCATTTCCTGGCAGCTAGAAAGTACTGAGAATTGTCCAGAGACTACCTGACACCTGTGCTTTAAGAAACAATGAAAACTTGGGCCTCCCCTGGTGGAGCAGTGGTTGAGAGCTGGGCGGGTCCGCAGCCTCTGCAGCACCGGTTTGTTCTCCGGCCACCAGCAAGGGTCCCACAAAAAAAAAAAAAAAAAAAAAAGAAACAATGAAAACTTTAACACTGACAGAGAAAGAACTAGGCCTTATTTCTTCTTTCAGTGTAGATATTGAGTCCCATGTTACTAAATTATAACAAATAGCATTGGAAATATAGTAGGAAAGTATGGGTAGGGAGAGAGAGAAAATCTACCTGATTTTATGTAGGTACATATTATCAAATAGTTTTAATGTAATTTTTCTAGGTAGGTTTCTAGAAAAAAAATTTTATCATTCCTCCCAAAAACTCCTCTCCCAGATCAACCAGAAAAGAAAAAAAAAAAGTGTTTTTCAGTTAAGCACAGGGAAGAACAAATTAAAATGCAAAGGATTTTATTCGGATCCAGAGATCACCAGTGACCCAAACCCAAATTAATTATCACTTAGCCATTCTGTTTCTTTAGAATTCAGTGTGGTTGCAGGGACTGTGAAAAGCATGGAGACTGTGAAAATGTATAGATGGCAAATTGAATAAAAGACAACCAAATATCTCTGGTTTATCATCACACACATTTTGTACATGTTACATGAAATCAATGTATTAGGCAATGATTAATGAATAAAATGCAGGCACTATAATGAGGAGTAAGGAGAAGTATTTATGGGAAGAGGAAATAGATTGAAATTAGGTCAAAGGAAATGAATTCAATACATGAATATGTTCCCCACATAGCACTAATGGAGTGTAGAATTATCTCCTCATGGGGGACAAGTTCAAGGAAAATGGGGCCCTGATGTACTAGTCACTGCCGTCTCTGTCCTAAGAGGCAAAGCAGTACGCCAGACACATTGCCGAGGCTGGCCTGCAATTATGATCCGGTCTGCGGGGAGCCAGAGGTCTCTCTCTTCCCTCTAGAAATCTACTTTCCTTAGGTAACAGTGGACATGGATTCTTTCCTTAGATACACTTGCTAGAATTTCAGTTTCAAAATTTTACATATGTGCATTTTCAATTTCAAAGAAGAAATCCTCATCTTCCTTTGCACTCATCTACCACTCTGGCAAAGTGGGAAAGAAAGAGAGAGGCAAACGCCCCAAATCCTCAGATAGATAAATAGATCATTTATATATAGGTAGATATTTAAAGATAAAGATCTATAGAGAGAGGGATAGACAATTTCTTAAAATGTTAAGTTGAAGTCTATTCTACCTGAACAACGGTACACTGAAAACAGAACCTCAGTAGTTTCAATTATATTATTATTTTTTAACTCACATATCACTGATGGGCAAAATGATTCATAAGTTACCATGAGGCAGCTTCCTCAGACCCTTCGCACTTACCCTTCAGGCCTCAAGTCAAACATCACTTCTTCATGGCGGCCTGCCCTAAACTAGAATAAGGTTAGGACTCTTCCTTCCATTCCTATTTTTGTGTCAATTTTCTTTTGTTTGTTTCTTCATTTTCTTTCTGCTTCCCACAGAACTTGAAATCTCCTTTAGGGTGAGAACAACATCAATGTTACTCCCCATAATGTTCAGATCATATTGCCTGGAACATAACATTTACTCAAAAATCATTTGTAGAACAGAAAAAAAAAAAAAGGGATTGTGATATCAACATCAATATTACTTATACTGCAAAACTAAGTTTTAAATGCATTTTTTTTTCCTTTTTGGTGATTGCTAAGTATTCACAATGGCATTATTGTCCCTAGTGCTTCTTGATGCCATGTGCAGGTTAACCTTCATGATGTAAATTTATCTTGCCTGACTTTGAATCCCGAACCTGCCACTTGAGAGCTGACTCTCTCAGGGCAAGTTACTTGACCTCTCTGACTTCATTTGTGAAATAGTTATATGACCAGCACCTGTGTATTATGTTGCAATGAGAAATAAATGAGGTAACATTTGTAAGGCTGCACAACAGGGTATAGTGTTAGATAAACAAATTTCCCCAACTGGCGTTTTTCCTCGTTAGATGGACTTGCCAGCTTCAAAAGCTTCCTGAAGTCTGAATTCAGTGAGGAGAATCTTGAGTTCTGGATTGCCTGTGAGGACTACAAGAAGATCAAATCCCCTGCCAAGATGGCTGAGAAGGCAAAGAAAATTTATGAAGAATTCATCCAAACAGAGGCACCTAAAGAGGTAGGTCCTGAGGGTGGGCGCGCGAGCATGGTAAGAGAGGGTCAGTCCAGGAGGACTCTCCAGCGAATGCAGGCGTGTGAGACCTTAGGCTTCTCTTGCCTGGGAGCAGCTCAGAGTGCCCTACAATCAGAGCAATATAACTTGAGTCAAGTCTCAACCACTTTCTAGAAGTGTGGTCTTGCTTTGGTAGCTGGTTGTGTCAAGTGGGAACGGTACTAGTTGTGTGATTTATGATGAATTATTGGGTCTCTCTAAGCTTAGATTCTTTGTGAAAATGGGCATAATGATGACTATTTCGCAGGTTTGTTGTGAGGACGAAATTAAACAGTGGATTTGAAAACATACATCTCGGTGTCTGAGCTAATTAATGCCTATCATCTTTTCTCTCTTCCTCTTCCCTACCCATTCTTTTTTTCTTGAAAATTCTCCTTTTTTTTCTACTCACCTTTGTTATTTTGTTTTCCCCTAGGCCTTTGCCATTTACACTGTAGTTGGGACAAAGTATCTGCTCATGAAAATCAAATTATCACAAATTAATGGTGCTAGAGATGTTGGAAGACAATATACCATTATTTGATTGTGTGTTGATTTCAAAGAAGCCTGTATTGCTGGGCTTTGACTCTTCTGTCACTTAGATATCTTGGGCAAATCACTTAACATTTCTATTCCTCAGCTGTAAAACTTCGATGCCACTGTCTGTCTTGTAGAGTTGTAGGACTAAGTGAGCTCATCAGGACAGTACCTGAAACAGGTGAAACACCAAAAAATATTCAGTGCTGTTTTTGTTATTATTATGGTTTGTTTCAGAAAAGACCATGTTTCCTTGCTTTTCTGGAACCATGCAAAAGGTCCTGGATTTCTGGTCAGATCTTTCTCCTTCTTCACTCTCTCCACTAGGCATGAAAACAAGTGCTGGGGTAGGGAGGTTGTGGGATTAGGCATCAGGACCCTTATTAGCTATGTGATCTTGAGGAAGCCACTTCACCTTTATACAAACATGAAGGTGAAAGTATATAAAGGTATTTTTCCCTACAAAAGGCTCCTTAGCATTGCTGTAAAGATTTTTGGAGGCCTGCTCACTAGCTGATTGGAGAACTTCGGACATTGGTTGGCTCTTAATCTGAGTCATTTATTGGAGCATCAATTATTGTACCCCAATATTCATAAAATGGAAGTGACATCTTTCACTCTTTTTAACCTCGTAGTAAAGTTTTTTTTTTTTTATATGTTTCTTACATCATTTTTCAATTTTTGCACAATGTATGCATTTTCATCTTGGTTATATTCCCCATACAATTGCACCCCCTTATTTTGACAGCAATCCCTCCTTTCCCCCCCTCACCCTGTAGTGTGTCTCTGGTGTGTATCTGCTTGTTGATTTTGATTTTTTCTTTATTATAGTTATTCTTTTTCCTGTTCTCTTATTTAGGTTGTCTAAACTCCTGTTATGAGTGAGCCCATCTGGTATTTTTTTTTTCTTTCTGGCTTATTTTGCTGAGCATGATCCCTTCCAGCTCCATCCATGTTGCTGCAAATGGCATGAGTTTATCTTTTTGATTGCTGAGTGATATTGTGTTTTTATGACTATCTTCCCCTTGTGTGTTTCATTGGTGAGAAATTCCACTTCTCAAATCCTGGGTCCTGGCGTAACCTGTTTGACCACAGGTGTTTGACCTGTATGGCCCTGTTTCCCACAGGTGAATATTGATCACTTCACGAAGGATATCACAATGAAGAACCTGGTGGAACCTTCTCTGAGCAGCTTTGATGTGGCACAGAAAAGAATCCACGCCCTGATGGAAAAGGATTCGCTGCCTCGCTTCGTGCGCTCTGAGTTCTATCAGGAGTTAATCAAGTAGTAACTTACTTGGGCTATGAGGATCATCCTGTGAGTTCTTCTTCCACAGTAACACCTGCATTTCCAGCAACCTGCACATCTGCCTATAGCAGCTTTGCTCAAAACTACCCAAACAGGGAAAATCCCAGGGACCGCTGCTTGCACTTTATGCCCATTTTGTTTTGGATGTTTATCTATTGTCTGAGTTCCTTCCTTCCCCAGTTTTTTTTCTACCCCATTCTTCATAAGCCCTACTCAATCTGTTTTTGTCAAACCTAATCAGATCACAAAAAAAATTGCCTAGAGCAAGAAAAATTACCATGAGAATATACTATCACTGAAAATGTGTTCATATTTGGTTTGGGTATTGGATCTCTACTTAAATTGGTCTGTGAAGAATAGATATATGTGGAAAGTCTAATTTCTAGTGAGATTACTTGATGTCACTCATTTTAATTCTAATCCAGGGTCAGTTCTCTATTTCTGAACTTGGTTAGTAAAAGGTAAAATGTGTAAGATTTTTAAGGGGCAGCCACGATTTCCCTTTTTTTTCAATTTTTTACATCTTTGTTCATTTTAAAAAATATTTTATTTTATATAATTCTTACATCATTTTTCATTTTCGCACAATGTATGCATTACTCAGCAATCAAAAAAGATAAACATGCAGTTTGCAGCAACATGGATGGAGCTAGAAGGGATCATGCTCAGCAAAGTAAGTCAGAAAGAAAAAGAAAAATACTCATAGCAAGAATTTAGAAAACCTAAATAAGAGACCAGGAAAAAGACTAATTAATACAAAGTAAAAATCAAATTCAACAAGCAACTATAAACCAGAGACACACTACAGGGGCGGGGTGGGAGGAAGGGGCGGGGAGAGGAAGGATTAGGGTCAAAATAAGGTAGGGTGTAATTGTATGGGGAATATAATGATTTCCCTTTTTAAGCAAACACATTGCTGTCCATTTCAGTGGTCTCCTACCTGTTATCAGAGGGCTGGTACACTAAGGTGTTTAATTATCTTATGATGCCTTCTGGCTTTTAGTAAATGATGAGTATCTTCAAAATATCAGATGATTGTTGGAAACATTAGTTTGACTACATGTTGAGGCCTTTGAAGTGAGATGGGGTTTTAAAGTGCTCTGCATTTTGCAAAATAATTTAGTCTTTTTGCAGTCCATCTTTTCTTCCTATTTTCCTCCCTGCATTAATGAGTTTAATTATGCCCATTTATGCCCATGCACAGCTGATTGCTAGACCAAGGTATTTTTTTAGTAGATTTAAGCTTTTAATTATATATCTCCTTATTATAAGCCTTGCTAGAATTTAAAAAAATATTTAGTCTTTAGTAGATTTGATTAAGTAATGATTTATGTAATTTAGTGATAAAGAGAATGAAAGTAAACTATGCATGATGGTAAACAAGATGAGGCTAATGAGTTCATTTAAAAAAAGTATTTTCTAAAGAATTAATAAATTCTGCAATCTTTAAGTAGAAGATCACATTGTTCAGTCTTGTATTTTCCTCCTTTTTTCTCCCCTTTTCATTCACACACAACTAGTGTCACATGTTTGTTGCCCACTTACACAGTTATTTCATAAGAATATTGAAAGTGAAGCAGCTGTATTACTCTATTCTTCCTGTAAACACTGTGTTTGTTGAGTATTTCTTTTTTTGGTAATTCCAAGGAATAATAGGCCCTTCCTGAACAATTGTCATTTCATTTTCTGAAAATGGGTTGGAGTAACTGGTCTACAGTCAACAATTGCTAGTGTGGTATGAGCTCATTCATATTTGTCGATATCACTCCCTTCAAAGAAAGACCATCATCAAGCAGTTGACAGCTGGGCCAGATCAACAAATGAAGAAGTTGTGTACAAGTGACTGCCATTCAGTAAGACATTTCTGGCACCACCTTTCCCGGCAACTAGCTACACTGCTAGTTGCAAATCAGCATAAAGTTACAGTCCTTCACTTTCTAAAGCAGCTAGAAAATTTAAGGACCCAAGAATCTAGGTGAATTGTTTTTTTCATGAATGCCTAAACATTTTTTAATTTAATTAAAAATACAAGTATTTTATTCACATCACTTGCAATAGCCAAGTGTTTTGTGAACATGCCCAGAGAATTAAGTAGGACTCACCCAGATGGTTGATGTTACAAAGATTCAGATTAACTGTATTACAAATTGACTGCACACCTGTAAAAGTGGGTAGACTTGTCAGTGGAAGGTAAGAAAGGCCTTCATCATTTTATAAGCTGCCCAGGAGGCCAGAGGCAGGAAAAGCACCACAAGAACAATGCTATAAAGGCTATTAAAAATGAAAACATTCCAATCAAAAAGTAATACTTTATATATATATATAAATTTATAGCATTACACACAGAGACATGCACACACATTAGAAACTCTTCTAACACAGGAATAAGATATAAAAGAGTACAAATATTGCAGGTGACAATGAGATAACAAACATTAAAATTACCCTGGAAAATTTCTTTGAAAGATTTTGCAAGTGTTTTTAAACTTAGACAAAGGGAAAAAATCCTGGTTTCTATGGTAACACAAAGAAAATACATGCTTTTAATTCTGGGAAATTAGCAAAAGTATGATGATCTTTCCAGGAAAAAAAGATGTTTAAAAGCTATTTATCACTCCCTTTCCCTCCTCCTCTTCCTCCCCACTTTTTCTTGAGTAAATTGCCTGGGAGAGTGCTTAATGCAAGAACCTGTGGTGTTTGCATTTTCCTTCCCTGTGAAAATGTAACTACAGCTGTATGTGCAACTGGGATGTGTAGAGGTGGTGGAACCAAACTGTGGTTAATGGGAATAGGAGTTTATGCTTCTCACTCTTGAGAGAAACCTAAGATATGGTCAGGCAGTGAATGGGCCATAACCTATGTTTTTCTGCCTGGGTTTGCTATAGTTTGGGGGTCCCATTAGATTAGAATCTAAATTAGACCCCAACAGAGATGACTAGCAACTCTACAGTAAATTAGGGGCTGTGTTACATGTATGTGTATGAAAGCAGCACTTATTCATGTGAATTACCCCCCCTCCACACACACACACATTCTCTCACTGATAAACATATTCTGAAATGCAGAACTGACTGAGGAATTTCAGTAACTTTGCTTTCAAACATTTAAATTGCAAAAACCCATAGAATCAAATGTATTGAAATCTTTTTACCCCACTTCCCAGACCCTGAGTACTGCCATTACCTGCTATATAATATTTGCTTTAAGTAGACCTGAGTTTTTAATGTATAAAGAGAACTTGTTTTCATTTTTATCTATTGCAAAGCCCTGGATTTTGCTTGGCCCATGTATTCTCTATAAACACTCCATTTCAAAAGTGTGAAGTTACTAGCCCTCTCCCCAAAAATAATAGATGGCCAGAAGTTCAACAAAAACTTGATTACTAGCAAATCAACCGGTAAACTAATAACCATTCCCTGCCAGGGCTTTGCTATCTATGCCTTACAAATTTGATGATAAGATTAATTTAAGAGCTTACTTATATTTCAGGAAATGATTTTTACCCTGAATAAATCCCATCAAGCAGACTCTTTCCTGTGTTTCTTGGGAACTCAGAAGGTTTGGGACAGAAAGGGCCACGAGCGTAAAGGCGAGAAAGCGGAGAATGGTAAAGCAGCGAGCACCTGGCCTTGTGAAGTGAACACAGTAGGAAGCATTGAAGGGCAACTTTGCTGCTTGTAGTCGGCAAGATTTGCAGGAAGGTATTTGTTTACTCACAGACCAGCATCCTAGGGAGTCTCAACTAGAGGAATGAACAAATGTGGAGGGAGGACCCACTTTCCCCATTTGGCTTGCATGTGCAGAAAGTAGAGTGGGGAGAACTCAGTTCCTAACAACCTAGTGTCCAAACCCAAGGGCCAGGCAACTCTGTAGGTTCTGGACATGAGGTTTTGATGCAAATCGGTCTGATCTGACTGAATTGCTGTTAGACCTTCTGGTTTTCTAGTCTCTCCATTCAGTTAAGTAAGAAAGTATTTGACACTGTTTAGACAAGGCTCTTTAATTAACAGTATAACAACTGCTACTTAGATTCAATATACTTTCACTCAAGTAGGTCGAGACCAGAGCAATAGATATTGAAAGGAACGCTTTCCTTCGTAACAGTTAACCATCCCGGAACTGAAAAGATCAGCTCTTTCAACTGAGGAGCCATTTGTGGGTTTGAGTGGAAACACATAGCAGAGAGTGAAAGGAAAAAAAAATTAAGGAGAGAACGTTAGCCTTACTTCACAGTTTAATAATAATTAGTTATTCTTATAACAGAGAAGCTATGAATTCACAACTTAGCATTCACATACAGCTTAAAGTTACTTGTCTCACCAGGATATCCCCTCTAACTTCCCTTCTTTACTCCCAGTCTCTTCTCTCCCTTCCAGAAGGAAACACTTAAAAAATATGGGTCTAGCCACAGTTATGTAATAATGAGTACATTTAAAGCATTTAACTATCTAGGAAATGTATGGCTTAAGTGATACTAAGACAACGGGAAACGCTGATCAATTTTCCAAACGAGAGAAACAATCTGGATAATTTTTGGCAAAAGTTCTTGTTATATTACACAGTATCAGATTTAAAGGGAACTAATTTTTTTAATGCTACAACTTATAACTCATCTTCAGGAAACATCTCCCAGAGAAAGATGTTGGAAAGAAAAGTTTGGAAATAAATTCATCAGCACTTACCCAGTACATTTTTCACTTAGAAACAATTGTGTTTATCTTCTAATTTTGTATCTGCTACATTGTATACCCTGTGACTCAGTCATTGATAAATAAAGCACCAAATATGTATCTGTAACCAAGATCACATATATATTATATTAAATATATGTCTATGTTACAGTCTCATACTAGTCCTTCTTTACTCCTGGACATTCTCTATTTGAAATTCTTCCTTAAGATAGGCTTGTTTGTTCCCTATGCTTGTTATACCAGGTGAACCTTTGATCCATTGGGCCATCCCTTATCTTAATACATGTTTGCTGTACTACAGCCTGACATGCAAACTCAGTAAGGGAGATACGAAGTGCCCCCTTACTCTGGAAACTGTCCCTTGGATTCAAATGGCAACAAACTATTAACCCAGCTGTTTGCTGTTGGAATTGACTATGCACATTATATCATTTGAATATTACACAATTCAGTCAATAGAGCCATTCCTTGCCCTTCCCACAGTGGGGAAAGATCTGAAATCCAGGTCCCACTGCAAGCAGCTCAACTCTGATAATTAGAACTGATGCTCACATAATGGGCTGAGATCCTACAACTAACGGAGTGGAAGAAAAAGACAGTTTATATACAGAAAGAAACATAGGCAGGAGCTGATTTACAGAAACAATGAAAATCTAAGGTAGGAGAGAGAGGAAAAGAAGATAGGAATGAGAATGAGAGATTAGGGAATGTCTGTCTTGATTTCTGACAGTTCTGAGTTTTCATTCCCAGTGCCCATGAAGCCTAGCTACACTTCTGATAGATGCAATGTCCCTGGATTATTTCATTGCCACCTATTCTCTTCTTTATTTTCATTATCTTAGAAGAGTTTTTAAGAATTTCCACGAAGAAGTATTACTAGTGTAAAGATTACTGACTCTTCTGCCTCCCCCACAGAGAAATGTCGGTCTCAAGGCAGATCAATAGCAAAACAGACCTTAGAGATTACTTACCTCTTAGACTCCTGTTTGGTCTACAAGACCAGAGGAACCAGATGTGGTTCCTCAAAATGTGGGCATTATTGGCTCTATCTTGAGTTCAACAAGCTAAACAAACCACTGTGGCAGTCCATGCTATCACGTGTTAATGATGTAAACCAAGCTCTACCAGTTATACCTCCAAAGCACATTTTGCTACTTTTGCATTTTCTAAATTAACAGTATCTTGATAATTGTTATGCCCACCCCCAGCCCCCAAATCCAAATACTTTTGTTTCTCAAGAATGCAATGCCTGCTTTTGAATTAATTTCCTTTGGCAAATTCCCAGTCCCCATGCTAGTTTCTTAATGATTTAACTTGTTAAAACAACAAAAAACACTTAGGAGAAGGCAGTCTTTGTTCAATCTTTGGCAGTCAGGTCCATGGTCAGGTTGCTGGCTGTCTTCGTTAATGAGGTCACATTTCCAAATCATCGCCAACGTGGGAGAGGCCAAGTTTGAGAGGGGCAGACAGGACCAGCTGCTTTGGAGGTATTATGTCTTGAAGAAGCACTGCGTTGTGACTGCTGCTGTAACTGTCTGGATATGTAGGAAATAAATATCTACCTCAGATTGTGCTGCTAAATGCCCGAAGCCTCTGCATCTAAGGAGAATTTGTGGAAAACATAAAAGACACTGAAAAAGAAATTGGATCCCAGAGGTTTTAATCAGTAAGGATAAATAGATTGATGCTCCTTTATTTCTTTACTCTGAACATTTATTTTGACTGCCTTTGAACTCAGTAACTAAAGTCATTACTTCTATATACACTTGAATTTCTCTAAACATTCTACTAAGCATGAGCTAGATAAAGGGAAAATCCAGATGCAGAAAATGCCGGAGATGGAATAGACATTACAAATGCTCCCATATGTCTAGGATAAAAGTCCCATTCTCCCTTCTCTGCACAGTTCCTCTTCAGCTGAGATGCTAGCAACTGAGAGACATACACAAACACTTGAACCCTGAAAGCAAAGGGGTCATTCACATGCCTGGCTATTGGATCAGCAGAGTTGTCCTGGGCCACAGTTGTCATGGACAAGAAGCCATCCTGACAATCTAAGGGATTATGCTTCCCAATCTTCACTTTAGAGATGAGGAAACTGAGGTCCATGGAAGTGACATGACTTCCATCATTAACATCTGGATGCTATCATTCTTACAGAAGACCTGGTTTCTAGTCAAGAGTATTTTTTTCTTTGGAGCAAAATTTGTGTTATGCCTCATACCTATTGCAATATAACAAAATATACTCTTAAAGTTTATATCAAAGAACTTTAAGATAATAGAGAAATGATAGGGTAGGGTTGACCCATAAAAGCTGAACTTCTTGGGACCTCCCTGGTGGCACAGGAGTTAAAGACAGTGCTATCAAGCTATCCCCAGCCACAGCAGCACAAGTTTGATCCCCAGCCGGACAGGGCGCAACCCACATTGCACAGCAGACCTCTCTTGCCTCACCCGCTGCTCCCCTCAGCTGCGTATTTCAAGATCTCTCCTGCCTCACCCACTGCTCCCCTCAGCAGTATATTTCAGTAGATCCACCTGTTCTGCTCCCCACTCTCTCTGGTGAATCCTTTCACCCCCCATACCTCTGGGCTATACCCCAGTTCTTATATGCATAAATCTTTTACAAAAGCAGAAATTCTCAAAAATAGACACTTCTCTTTTTTATAATAATTTTCTCAATTAGGTATTCTTTCTGGTTGGCAAATTTTTAAATAATAAAACTTTTTAAAAAAATATTTAGATAATATCTCCTGTTAGAAAGCTACCAACAGGATATATTATTGTGAATTCCAATAGAATGAAACATGTTGATTATTTCTTAAAACCTTGAATATAGCCAGTGGGGAAGGGTATTTTGATTGGGGGAGAGAAGTCAACCGCGTGGAATCATATTTTTGAAAATTAGCCATCAATCTATGCTGTTCGTCACCCCATTACCTACCTACACTAGGTAACAGTCAAGATTCATGGGGGCAGAAAAGTCTCTTATCCTGTGTATATTCAAGCCACTTTTATGTTGTGTTTGACACTTTTCTGGGATTTAAAGAACTGGCAATTTCTCATGTTAAATTTTTCAATGACCAATTGCAGTTCCTATTCCATTTTTAAGGCTTTGTTCAACACTCAAAATTTCTCCCTTAAACTCAAGTTCTCCTAAGAAGAGTGGCACACAAAATTTGTAACATTCCCATGATAAGAAAAAAATGGGTTAGGGCATTTATCTAATCATGTTATTATTCTTGTGAGAAGTAAAATCAGATAAAATAAATAGTCAATAATAAAATAAAATAAACGATCACGTTATTCCTTTGTTTAAACCCTTCCAATAACTTCCTATGCTCTCCAGCCTTGTAGGGAAGAGAGGAGAGCTCGTAGAATCCATAGACATTTTGTGTGCCCTTCCTTATTCATGGATTGAATTACACTTCACACACCCACGTATTGCTTTAAACTCCCTCAAGTTTTAAAAGTCAAGTATAAATTCACTTAAAAACATTGCTAAATTTCTCCTAGATTGGCATTTCAAATATTTTCAATTAATGAATACTGATAATACAGCTACTCTCATGCAGATACTAAAAAAAATTCTTACTCTTAAAAGTATAACTCTAAAATGTTGATGGTCACTGCTTTAGGTCTAAAATAGCATTCTGGATCCTCAGCCTGATACATAACGTTCTTGAAATCACTCACTTTTACATGATGTCTTGCAGAGCTCCAAATCCACCCTGCTTTCTCTTGCTTTAGAAACCGTGGGGTTTGTAACCACCAAAGGAAGGATCACTGGCTCCTCCCTTCAAGCACAGCCCTTAGTAGGTAATCAGTAACACTTGAACCCCATAAAAGCCATGTAGGGCAGCTAAGGCCCAGTTAAAGGACAAGGAAGCATGTAGAGCAAAATATCGACAGGGGTTAGTTAACTAGACCAGCTGATGCCTCCCTGGGTCTACATAAGCCCCTTATAAATCTTCTCCTTTATATACCTTTCATAATGGTGTCTTGAGGAGAGGCTTAAGAATGCTTGGCTTTGCCATGATCCCAGTGGTAGTGTTAGCCAGAATAAAACTTCCTTTGAAGAAATTCCTGTGGATTTCTGAGCCAAGAACGATACCAGTCTGTTTCACTACAGTCCTTCTATTTCACCTAACTGACATTTTTTAGAATTAGCACGCAGATACCATTCACCCAGAGAGACTTCCTTCATACCCACCTATTAAATTGGGTGATATTCCCCTAGTCTGGTATTCTTTCATCATACTAATTGGGTAAGATAATTCTGTGAGGCAGCTAGGGAATTCTCTTCTTTCAAGAGTGTTGGAAAAAAAAAAAAAAAAAAACACGTGTTGGTGAGGGTGTGGAGAAAATAGAACCTTCACCCACTGTTGGTGGGAATGTAAATTGCAGCATCTATGAAAAACGGTATGGCGAATCCTTAAAAAGCTAGAAATGTAAATACTATATGGTCCAGCAATCCCACTTCTAGGTATTTATCTGAAGAATATGAAAACATTAACTCAAAAGAGATATGCACCCCTATGTTCATAGCAGCATTATTTATAATAGCTTCAGATTTGAAGTCAACCTAACTGCCCATCAATGGACAACTAGATGGAAAAAATGTGTAATATGTACTCAATGGAATACTACTTGGCTATTAAAAAGATGAAACTGTGCCAATATGGATGGCTCTCAAGTAATTATGCTTAGTGAAATAAATCAGAGAGTGAAAGACAGTTATCAGATGGTTTCGCTCACTTGTGGAAATATAAATAACAAAAGAAAATAAAACTGACAAAATGCAACAAGAATAACTCAAATTCTCTGAAAAATATGATGGTTACTAGAGGGAAGAGATTAGGGATAAAGAAGGGAATAAAGAGAGTTATGTGTGAGAGTGTACCAGTACTGGAGTTTTGTTTGGGGGTGCATGAAACATTTGATTGTGTCCATATGTAAAGCTATTCTAGCCAAAGATAATTTAATAAAATTTTACTTAAAAAATAAGACATTGCACTTTAGCCTCTAAAAGATCTTAATGGTTTTTGATGATTGCATGTCTGATTCTGAAAAACTTGCCAGACATATCCTTTTAGAATGAGTAAGCAGAAAGAGCAAAAGAGCATATATTTTAAGCTGTGAGGGACCTATTTT